CGCAATCCTCGGTGAGGCGGAGGGCGTTGGTATACGGACATGGACGTGGACGCGGTGAGGAAAAGGGCTGCGACGACCAAAAATGAAGCAACCGAAAAGCAAAGAGAGCGAAAAAAATCAGAGAAGATTGATGGTAATCAATAAACTGGAAATACGATTTGGGTAATGCGAAAAGAGTTGTGATCAGGTGAACGAGAAGGGGAGACGGGGGGGGGGGGGGGGGGGACAAAGGTGGTGATGCGTTTTTGATACCAGAAGCAAGCATTAAAGAATAAGAGAGTTGAGCAGCGAGCGAGCTGATGATGAGTATTGGTGACCAGGTTGTTTTTCGGTTGTTCTTCTTCCCTTATTTGAAGATCGGGACGGGATTGACGAGCGGGGAGCTCCGAAAGAAATTAATCATATTATTAAACTTTGCTGGTCTTTCGATGCATCGGTTGAATGGCAACCGGAGAACGGCAGCAGAGGGCTTTAGGGCTATGATTATGTGAGTGCGCTGAGCCGGCCGGGTACGCAGCGAGTTGCATTCCTGGATGCGCGATTTAGGCCCTGGGGACGATTACAACGGCGAGGACGATGACGACGACTACGGCGGCGTCAATCCTGTCCTGTTCAGCTTCGGTATATACGCCGGCCTTAGCGACGGACTAGAGGCTCTCGAGAGGGGAGAGATGGAAAGTGGATTTTAATTCATTCTCAATTCAAAATTCTATTACCCGGGACAAAAGGTGGTTAGCCGGGACGTCCCCGCGAGACGCTCCTGAATTGGGGGTTCAATTTTGGTCGATGATTACAAGGAAGCCCCACCAGATAGGCTTTGACGAAAGTTTGACTTGATTTCGACGCTTCCGGGCGTAATTATCGGCAATGATAGCGCGCTCGCTCGGGAGCTGCACGGAATCGGGAAGGAGAGATGATGCATTAGAGTAGCAGCAGCAGCAGGAGCAGAAACGCATTAAAGCCTCGCTCGCCGTTGAACGCGGGATCGTCCCCCAGGAGCCAGAAATTCTTCATTCGACTCAGCTGCTTAATTCACGTTTTTGGGCTGATTTTAATTGAAAAAGGCAATCTCGAAAAAATGAGCGTCTACTGGTTTGGGGCTTCGAGGAGGTTGAAAAATTAGAACCACGAAGAAGAAAAGCTCATTTTTCTTATCTCGAGTACTCGAGTGGCGCGTCGCTGGTCGTCGTCGTCGTCGTATGCATAGGTAGGGAGAGTGCGAGAGTTCTTTTCGGGGCGCGGATAGCGGCCATCGACCTGCCATCATCGACGTCAATGCTCAGCATGAGTCGCCCGGGACACATCATCGAGCGAGTGAAGTGGAGAAATTTGTGCAACAAACATACATATTCTTACATGCGCGAACGACATGGTGCTGGTCCGAAATTGCAACGGTGCACCACGGCGGAGACGGAGGTGGTGCCTGTGGTGGTGATGTTCGCGACCAGCATCCACGTCTCTTTATAAATCAATCTCATCAACTGTCAAACTTTTTGCATGTTCAACTTTTCAGCGAACGCGGACAAACAGTAGCTGCAACGGTTTTCGGTGGTTGTTGCGGACTTTTTGCGATACGGCCCCGGAATGACACCGGGAGGAAAATCTGCGGGACGTACGTCTTGTGGTTGGGTTTGGTTCTCTTTCTCCCTGGGTGAGAAAGCCACGAGCATTCCAAAAGATGAGCAAGAGCTTGGAGACAGTTGGGAGGTGAGGGATTGACCATACTTCATGTATCCTGATGGTAAATTTGACAACTGAAATCGATGAAACGACGATTGTGTCCATCTGTTGATTTTGACTGCTGTGACAGACAGTATTCGGAAATTCAATGAATATTCATAGGGGGTGACGAGACCTCGCGGTTTTTAGCAAAATTTGGAACGAATTGAAATTAAAATTACTGTCATCAATTGAATATTGTATCAATGAAATTCGGGGGACATTTGTTGATAATACCACTTTTGGGGATTATCTAGATATTCAATCGCTGAAGAATGTGAGGGACTCTTGCAAACTCAAGTCGGGTTGCTTACATACTTCAACGATTTGAAATCTAGATAATCCCCAAAAGTGTGGAAAGTTTTCGAGATCCATAAGACGTTGTGCCAAATTTATTAAATAGCAGCATACAATTTAAAGCAGAGACATGGCCTTTCGTATTTATGACAGAACATGTTGAAACATGTGAAATTGATTACACACTAAAAATATGTCACAATCTTCTTCTTCTTCCTCGCATTTCAAGCTTATTGCGTGCTCTCAACTTAGTGTTCTAGATGCACTTCCACAGTTATTAATTGAGAGCTTTCGATGCCCGTACCATTTTTGCATTAGTATAATTGTGTGGCAAGTACAATCATACTCTATGCCCAGGGAAGTCGAGAAATTTTCCAACCCGAAAAATGCCTAGACTGGACCGTGAATCGAACCCAGCCACCTCCAGCATGGTCTTGCTTTGTAGCTGTGCCTTTACCGACTGAGCTAAGGGAGGTCCAACAGCTGAATTTTCGATTGAGGTTTTGGTAATATTTCTCGCGCAACATTTTAAAAAGGCCTATCCTCGTTGATCGATTTTCTTAATTAGGGTTACCATATCAAAAACTTTAACGGCGGCGGTGGTGTAGTGGTAAGCGTGATTACCTCTCACCCCAGCAGGCCAGGGTTCAATCCTAGTCGGTGCCGCCGGGATGTTCTGAGGCATAACATCTCTGATCACGCCTTCCTTCGGATGGGAAGTAAAGCCGTTGGTCCCCGGTTCATGAGTTGATGGGTCGATAGGTAGGGTCCAGGTGTGGGAGCTGCCTTCCTGGCACGTCGGTAGCATTGGTGCTCAGCACGGAAAACAAGATCGACGGAAAAAAACAAACCAAAGGAAAAAAAATATCAAAAACTTTGGAAATTAGGTAGGACAATGATTCCTTTGTTAAGATTAAAGTAGTCCTACTTGAGTTTTTATCAAACATTTTAATAATATGTGCGCTATCACAAAATTCATGAGATTGTTCATAACTTGTGGTCGTTACAAATTCAATTCATCTTCTCGTTATACTTCTGAAAAATGCATCAAACTAGCCTTCATAATTCATTTTTGATACTTGGAAATGATCTAGTTTAGCTGATTTGCATGAAAACTACAGCTTTACAGCCTTAAAACCATCCCAACTTTTATCATGTAAAAAAATCAGGATACATGTCATCGCAGATTGAAACCAACATGGAACATCTAAGCAACCTGTTAATGTTACCATTGATTCAGCATAGGACTCTAAGGCCACTGCCATAGTGGGAGCGAAGAGGCGCGGTTAGCGTTCTATACAAAAGAATTCGTATTATTGGTATTCCTTACATTCGATTTCGCGTATTTCGAAAATATCGTTGATCGTCCGATTTTCGAGAAATTGTTTGTCAAAATTGATTTCTGGTTTGTCTGAAATAAGCTACCTGACTTCTATTGCACAGTGGTCCAGAATGCAGATTTAGGTGGAATGATATGTTTTGAGCCTGAAATTGAAACTTTAGACTAAAAGCTTCTTCTACATAGTTGTTTCTCCTAGTTAGGCCCTCCTTTTTATGACATTGAATTCTAGGGTGGTTCTTAATATCATTAAAATCAAAAATCTAACTTTTTTGTTTGAATAAATTAAGGTATACATTGTTGGGCAAAGTTATAGTTGAGCTAATTTCAAGCAACTTTGTCGAAATCTATTTTTTCTATCTCTCCAATTGGCCGATTTAGAGCTATTTTCTTGAATTGAGTTAGGGTGGCTCTACTTTTTTTTTTTTTGCCCAAACCAGAGATATTAACAATTGAAAAGTGTATATTTTTAGTAGAAAAACGTCAGTAACTCTTGATCGGCGAAAGATATTGACAAGCTTTGTGCAGCAAATATTTGCGCCTTCTAAAGATCTAAATGCTATTTCAAGACACCTTTGCTGAGAAATTTGAAATAAGAAAACAAGAGCAAAACAACTGTTTTTTTAGAGCCACCCTAACTCAATTCAAGAAAATAGCTCTAAATCGGCCAATTTAAGAGATACAAAAAAGTTGTTTCCGACTTGAAATTAGCTCAGCTTTAACTTTGCCTAACAGTATATACCTTAATTTATTCAAACAAAAAAGTTAGATTTTTATTTTAATGATAATAAGAACCACCATAGAATTTATTGTCATAAAAACGAGGGCCCAACTATAAGGAACAACTTTGTAGAAAAGACTCTAGGGATGAAGATCCAAACAACTAGGTTTTACCATACTTATTTTCATAAAAATTTCAAGCACAATTCGGAAAGCTTTGCACAGTTGTTTGGGACCCAAAATGGAACCAAAAAAGGTTTGCTTTCGCTTGATTAGTTAAATTTTACGTTTTTTTTTCATATAACGATGACCCACCCCAAATGGACAAAGTGTTTAAAGTACGGTCGATTCAAAAAAGTAAGAGGATGTATCCAAAACATGACCGTAGATTTAACGTAGGATTACGTGACCATTATCAATATTTGGCGACTGTGCTAGGGAAACCATTTTTTGCAGGCCATCGGGGATAGTTTTGATCACCATTGCAACAGTTGGACATTTGTGTAATTTTCAAAAGTGACCTATTGAAAATTGATAACGTATTCATTTCAGCAGCTTTGTAGAAAAAAAAATCCAATCTATTGGCTTGTTTAGAATTAAAATCCATACGCTATTCACAGAGTTATAAATGGTCAAAACCTGACCACATTTCGTAGCGCGGTCGATTTCGGTTTTTTGCGTCAAAAATGTTTGTTTTGCTATTTTTCCTGGAGCTGCTCTACTAGTGATGATACAACAAATGAAATAATGCTGATCACATCACATGCATCTAATTTATTCCCTTTTGGCAGCTACACTTTCTCTAAACAATCCATCAAGTGTAATTGTTTAAAAATTCTCTGGATTTGACCTCAAACCTTAAACCATCAATTTTTAATACCAACATATCTCTTTCCCCTCTCTCTCTCTCTCTCCCTCTCCACAGCAACAAGCGTTAGCTCTGACACGTCCTAAATCGCCGAAGAAAGAATCCTCCGTACCGGTTTCTCCCTCGAATGGTCGGGAGGTGGAAATGTCCAGCCCGAAAGTGCATCTCTCGTCGTCGTCCTCGTCAAACATTTCGGATCTTGCAGGTGCCACAGCCGTCGCTGCGGCCGCCGCCGCCGCTGCCGCGGCTCTCAACGCTAGTGATAATCTAAACTTGTCCGCCAATTCTGCGTCCAATCTGAACGCCAACGGTGGTACCTTATTGAACAGAAGTACCACCCCACAGCTGCACCATCAGCACCATCACCACCACCCTCACCATCCAACGATCAGCGTTTCACAGTCGCTGATGGGATCGAATGCCACCCGCTCGCTGACGCCTCGGATTAGCGTGTCTGCTTCCCTAACGGAAAACGGGGCCGGCTCCGGGGCCAGCAGCAACAACAATAGCAACAGTAACATTCCAAACAGCGCTGCCAACAGTGCTGCCGGCATCCAAGCGCCTCCAAATCCAGCGAACGGAGCCGCTGACCGAGGGGTAGTGCCCCAATCGCCGGTGGCGGCCGTTGCAGCCGCAGCCGCCGCCATGCAAGATCGGAAGGATTTCGATTTCAGCAAAGTCAACGGTAAGTGGGACATAGGAAATCAATTAAATTTATTACTGAACCGCCAGGCCGCCGACTGGACCTCTACTGAGGGGATGAGAATTGAGTCTGCAAAAATAAAAAAATTAAATGTCACGCGTTACCTGAAGGGGAAATTTAATTTGATAACGAACGGAAGCCGCAAAATTATCCTGCCCACGGTTTACGCCAACCAACCGGGGCGAGTGATTGAGTGGCCTCGCTTGAGGGGCCTTTTGTGGGTTGTTTTTATTCTCAGATCGGCGAACAGCAGCACGGGATCAACATGTGCGAGTGGGTTACAGCAGCGTGCGGGGTTTATACGGTGGACAATCGATGTTCATACATTTGATTTAATTTTGCTAATTGGAGAATGATGAATTTAGGAGGACGCCGCTCACCACTGTTGACATGGTTTGGTGCTAATATTTTAATAACTTTGAGTAATGTGGGATTCAAGCGCATCAAAGTTCACAACCGGTGGTGGAGATTTTATGATGTGGTATCCTTTGGTGGTTGAACAATTTTTCCCATATCTCTCAACTTGTTGCTGGACAATGTTTTCAAATTTATTTGTTTCAATGATTGAGATTTTTCGTTGCGAAACCCTCCAGCCTGAAGCGCAGGCGCCTGGATTCCGGATTTGCCGAAGGATTAAGGCGATTAGATAAACTATTACACACGGCCGATCCACGGACAAACACTGCCCGTTGGACAACGCACATACCCGGAGCGAAATGAACCATTTTCGGTACTTTTACGACCGTCACGAACCTGTAATACGATATGTCCTTGCTCTCTTGCATACACACCGGTGGGGATTTACGCCGGGATTGAACGGTATAGAAAACGAAAGTAAACGACAGCAACGGTTTGTAGGATGCGTATACAACAACGTACACCGCCCGGTCCTATACAAGTAAAAGGGAAGGATATGTCGCTACAAAACAAACATTGAATCTCACACCTTTTCGCGCAGATTCGTGGACAAGCGGAAGAAGTGGGTCAGGATGGGTGATGGGAGGCGATTTCCATCAATTGGAAACGATAGCCGTTTTAGCATTAGCTGCCGTCCCCTCCGGGTAGCACATGTGCTCCCCGTAGGAAATTTATGCTCTACTCTAGGCTGGAAATCCGTGCTTTGAACACGGTGGACACGTCCCAGTAACAACGACCGGCCGGTCACGGTCGGCGGAGGAGCAATCCGCGGAATTGTACAACGTAGCAGCAGTGGCGCCTAAATTTACATGCCTGCAGATAGATTGAACAACAGTCGGAACAACACGCACACAAACATCCGATCCTCGGTTGGCCTCGACCCGGCCGCGGTGGTGGCGCGGAACCAGGCGCACATGTAGACGCATAATCCGTTAAATACATATAAACACCATCCGCGCTAAGCGCGCCAGGGCGGATTAAAATCCGTGAACAGCAGCAGCCTCTGCAATGCATAGTGATGGAAGCAGTTGGCTCTCCTAATGCCTAGCCGGAGGGATATAAAATGATTTTTGTTTGGTACCACTCCGGCACTGGTGGTAGTCGTTTTGGCTCCCGCCTCCGGGGTCAATTCTAGTGATTGTAAAAACGTAAAATGCACACATGAGCCTTGCTGGCGCTTGGGCTGTGCGGAAAAATTCCTGATGGTGTGTTCAGCTACAAGTGACGATGGAGTGGAGTCCAGTTGAATCTACTATTTCTCACGCTGATGAGCAAAGCTTGATGGTACAATTTGCAGTTAGATCACCATTGGAACAAAGTAAGAACAAATCAATGGTTGACTGCTCTAAAAGTGACATCCAGGTTGGAAGGCTCCTTTGAAACTTTGGGCATGCATTGCAGAACACCCAACAGCGAGAAACAGTGTTACTTCCATTTGCTCTGCACACTCCTTTTTCAACTTCTCTGAGAGAGAAATAATCATGTAGTGGTGGTAAAAATCACACACTGATGGGTGGGCAGATTTTGACGTAAACTACATCTTACGAGAAAGTACTGGGGATTAATCTAAAATCTAAAATTGCAACCGTCACGAAAAGGTGTAAGGTTTCGAACACTTTTAACTTTGTCATTTATAGATGAAATCAAAATCCAAATACACCAATCGATTGGAAGTAACATTATAAATCTTTTAGTTTGCATGCTTTTCCTGTTTTTCATAAAAAACTGTTGAAAAATGTGCAAATAAAAAGTGATAATTTTATCACTGTTTTCTTGAAATAATCATTCTCCCCAAACCCAGTCGTCATAATCGAGTACCACTTGATTACACATCTTTCGTGACTCAACTCATTTTCGCTTCGGACACCGGGTGAGCAGGTAGCAGCAGCAGCAGCAGTAGGAAGGGAGCGTGCATCCCGAATCTTGCACGTCGTTCCCGTCGAGATCACTAACTGCTGGCAGCGAGCCCCATCGCCGGCAAGCACTCCGAAGTGGCTCAACCTCACCTGAGTGATAACGATCCCGCGTTCTACAAATCTCGAAGGGACGTATCAGCTTTTGTAAACAACGCATTTCACCGTCGCATTACTGACACCACTATTAGGCAGGGAAAATTTCCCCTATCTGACGGTAATGTCAGGCAGGGAATGAGTCCCCTATATGCATGTGTGAGTGAGCTACCAGTTACGCCAAATCGACAATCAAATGCGTTGTTTACAAAAGGTGATACGTCCATTCGAAAAAGTAATAGAGAAATACTTCTTGGGCTGTTTCTGGATTTCCCTATCACAGATTACCGATTTCTGTACCAAGCACTGACATTATAAGACGGTACCTCTATTGATGCGTTTAGATTAGCTATGTAAATTCATCCTACTAGTAAAATTATGCTATAGAAAGGTTAAAAATTCCTGGAATTTTTGCTCATGGGAGAGAGGCACAGCAAGCCATTCGATTGCATAATTCTCCAAGAAGGAGGGACTTACAATGCTAATCTCAGCATAAATAGAGGTACCGTCAAGTTTTATTTTCAGTGCCATGTACTGAAATTCGGCAGTGAGCATTCAAAAAGGCCTACTTGCAATGATCGATTTTCTTCATCGATCTTGTCTTTACATTCCTACAGCTAAGCGAATCAATTCAAGCTGAACATTGCATTAGGTCCTAAGTAATATTGACAGATTATTTTCGTCGACTTTCTTCTTGTACCCCCTCGGCCATGTAAAGACATTTCTGTCGTGACCTGAACGAGGTTTCAAGCCTCGGCCATGTGTCTTAACAAAGACTAATGAGATGCAACATTTAACATTCGTTAAATCACTAATTCAATCATGCGAAGCGATGCACTCAAGCCTTAATTCGTTCACGCATGCGTCATTTTGCGATTACACAGCTCGGAGTTACCCGGAATCGTCGTATAGTGGGCTCTTATTGTGTACGGCTTTAGATATAGCACCAATAGAGGGCATGCAAGATGTAGTCGAAAAGGCGAGGATTCCGCACGGGGTAGGGGTGCTCGGTAGACTGATGCAAAATTTGAAATTTTCGCTCCACAGTGCTCAAACGGTTCCAAATTGGGCCCTGATTAGCCTCCCAAAATTTGAACTCATTTAGTGAGAAACTGACTTGGCACAAACCATTTGAAGTTTATATGGGAATTACTATGGAGAAACCATAATTTCGGTTCATATTTATCTCAAAATTAGCCAGTTCACTCTACTTTAGAAAATGATAACTGAACTTGTTGAAAATTTTCTCAGCTACAACTTTATTCAAGATCACTTTTCGATCAAATGTAAGGAACAAAAATTATTAATGATTCAAGTCACTGATGTCTTATGATTATGCTCAATCAACTGTTCAGCAGGCAACATTGGTGTCTATGGCGCGTAGAATAGAGAACAAAAATCATGGCTACTATGTCACACTGCAGAATACAGTGTTGCCCACAATACAGTTGCTTAATCTTACCAAAATATTATCAATCTCTTAAACAATTAATAACTATTTAATTTGACGTTTGGCTGAAAAGCAATTTTCTACAAAGTTGTAGCTGATAAAAACTCACATAACTATAGCAACAGTATAATATGTAAAAAGGCTAGGAGACAATGAGCAAAAAGTTTGGATTTCCCATAGAAATTTCCATATGAACTTCAAATGGTTTGTGCCAAGTCAGATTCTTATCAAATGAGTTTTAACTTTCGGAGACTAATCAGGACCCGATTTGAAACCGTTTGAGCGAAAATTTCAAATTTTGCATTAGTTTAATGCCGATGTGTGGGTTTATTTAGACCATCCAACGATACACGCTAACTGAATCCAACTCAAATTGAGTATGTCAAAACTGGAGGTACCAAACTTTACTCTTTACTGTATTATATATACAAATATTAATTGTTATATTTCATTATCATTATTGTTATTATTCCACGCCAACCGCACTATAATATACTATACGCACTCTACTGAATACAAGCTTACTAGAAAATATTGTGTATTTTGAATAATCCACCTAAAGGTACCGATTTTTGCATTTTGATTTAAAATTACAATTTTTTGGAAGCGGTACTACGATATCATGGATGAAGATTATAGCCTAAGTATTCCAGTATTATGATTGATCAATATGATAGGTATTTTATTTCATGTATCAGCAGACGATATAGGAAAGACGGAGTTTATGGCAGACCCTTTTCATTTTTAACTTCGAGTGAGGCAAGAGTACGACCCAACTAACAATTTTCACAATGTAAACGCTTTGCTCATTTCTTTTATACAGCCTCAAGCTGTATTCAAACGTTATACGATATGAAGAAACCTTTACTCAACCTCTATACAAGCAAATCTGGCGAATTTAGTCAGTTACTTATGGCTGTTGGGACGATTGGGACAAGCTCTTATTGCATATACATTAGCTGTTATCATGCTGTTTAGTTGTATGTGAACTTGAAAGTTGCTTATTCAACCTTTTCCCGGTTATTCAATAATCACTACACAGCTTTCTTTTGAAGCCGGGTTAATTGTTTATGTTATTCATCAAGAGTGGTTGGTTGTATAGAAGC